ATTTATAATTTGCTAGCCTAAAAAAAAAAAAAAAAAAAGTTCCGCATAGCCCATTACCAACCGGATGACAGAGGTTATGTAATGGGCAGGCCACTTTAGGTGTCACATTTACTTCAGACATCTGACGGGGAGAAAATAGGACTTTCTGTGATAGGATAATTGCATAGTGGAGAGTAATTCAAACGGGATGAGCATGATAAAATCACTCTGATTCAACTAATCACTGGCAAAAGTGATGGAGGAAAATGATGAAATCAAGCCAGAAGAGACAGAGAAAAAGATCAACATTGTTTAACAGCCAAGAGATGACAGGCTGTATTAAAAAACAGGGTTACTGTACTGCTTTTCTTCCCCTTCACACTAACCAAACCTACATTCACAGATTAAAGATGTTACTGCACTTTTCTGAATCACTCTTGCCAGTCTGACGAATCTTGTATATACATCAATGGGGATTTTAATAATCAGTGTTGTTTGTGGATTGAGTTCTTCTTATATGTGTCCTTGAGCCCCCACCAAGGACTTACACACCACCGAGGAGCATGGGGCACTTGAAAAGCATAAAGGGAGGCCCAGGGCCCCAGACCTCACCCAAACTGCTGGGAGCGTGGGGGTGGGACAGAGAGTGGCCCTTGGACAGAGAAGTTTCCTCAGTCTAGTGCATCATGGTGACAGAGTTGAGCTTACACTCTGTTCTGTTGAGAAGGGGGTCGCTGCTCTGTGGGTGACATTGGAAAGGAAGGGTCCCTTCACGGGGGGAAGGGGGGGTCATTCTAGTGCAACCACGCACATGGTGACTGCACTGCAAATTCACAGGCAAATGTGCACTGAGACCTGGCTCTTCAAATGCTCGCAAACTGTGGCAAACTGTGACTGTGGTCACTACGACATAAAGGATATTGTTCCCCTGGTCTCCACATAAACTATAAGCCAGTATCTCAGTCCACATGCCTGACTGAAGCCAACAGATCTGCTGGGCTCCCAGGACCAGGTCTGTCTCATCTGTCTCCAGGCCAAACCCTGACTTGGATAAAGCCTTTTTAGAGACTGCAGATAGGTTGGGGACAGTAGATGGCATGGGGGCTAATGTGGCTAGATCCTGCATGGCCAACTGTGTGGTTCAAGCCCCAGACCCAGCAGCTTGACAGTCATGTGAGCACATGTGCAGAGGTGCCCAAAAGGCCAAGAGAAGAACGGAGAAGGGACTGCAACACGGCCATGCTCCCGCAGGGTTGCTTTCTCATTTTCCTTCTCTCTCTGTTTCTGGCAAAGGCACGTACCCTCCAGAAATTTCATTTTAAAAAATCCTACAGATGGGGAGATTGACACAATACCAGACCGGTTAACCAGGATGTTACGGCAACAACTGTGCTGACAAAGGGTCTGTGGGTCTATTTTAAACACATGAAATACACATTTCAAAGAATCCTCGTTGCCTTTTTTCTGAGGATATTTCGATTCAACCAGAGCAACTTCTTTTTTCTTAACAAAGAAACTGTACCGACCACATCAAATAGTCTTGTTTATAAAGAAAAAGAATTTAAACCAAAAAGATTTCAAAATTAGGCAAACACAAAGATGCTGAACCCAGTTCTTGTCCTCTCTGTCATCTTCCAGGTGCTTCCAGAAGCTGCATGACTCCCTCTCTATTAAATGCTCACGTGTTGGAAATTGCTTCTGCCATCCAGAACAGCAAATAGTTGGCAAACGGGCACCGCAGGCCAGGCACCACGCTAAGCACCTCACAGACACTCAAAGGTGCTGCGATGCTACCATGGGGGTGCGAAAACGAACCCTCTCGAGTCCTGCCTACGTGACCTTGGCAACTAACTTCATCACGCCAAGCCCCTTTACTCATCTCTAAGACATATTAAGCTACAATGCCTCTTGTCCTTAATCAAAATAGTACAAAAACATTTCGGAGACAAGCAAAGGTGTGGGATTATCAGGTCTAAGGCAGAAATAACTTGTGGAAATTTGCTCTGGTCAATGAAGCATGAAAGAAGAGAAAGTAGGAAATGATCTTTTATAATACAATGATTCTGGAGATAATTATTAAAACTGAAAACTAAGCAAACTATACATTAGATACAAAGGGCTCTTCAGATTTTAATTCTTTCCCATATCCTGTACCAATATGCCATTAATGTAGGAGATGTCAACAGTTACCTGTTCTAGAAATAAGACTGAGATGTCCCATTCAGTGGGCAACAGGGAAAGATGTTGGAAGCCAACATGGACATCCAAAATAATGTACACGCACATTGCAGTTCCCTTCGCTGAGTTGATATTAGGAATTTCGGGGAGCTCCTGTCAGTCAAAACTACTAACAGCGTTATATTGGGTTTTCAGAAAAGTCACCATGTATTTTTTCTATGTTTTTCTACACAAAAATGCATCATGACTTTTCTGACAACCCAATCATTCCAGTACTATTCCAATATCTGCAAGAACTTCCAGTATCTCCTAGACATCGTTCACCCCCTTGAGATCTTCAATTCCACATTTTGCGAGCATTGCTTACATTTTTTACAGCTGCTTGGTTGAACCACAAGGCACCTTTCAGTGATGTCTGGCAACCAGTGAACGTGGATACAGGTGTGGGCTGTCCTCTATAGTTCATCTAATTAACGGGCTCCTTACCAATTAAAAGAAGAAAACGGGCACCAGAACCCTATATGAGGAAGGCAATCAGGTCCCCAGGGACCACTTTCCCTGGTTAACAAGACTGAAGAAATAAAGTGTGTTCATCCAATAGTCAACTTTCATCTTCCAGAGTCAGTTCCTCGGTACACAGCTTCTAGGCGTCTATCTTGTCTTGGGGCAATACCAGGTTGGAACAGAGGGACTTACCCGCACAGCCTCGGACTTCTTGTGGAACATCTCCTCCATGTTCTTCGCCAGCTTCTTCACCAGCTGGAGGCCGTCGATCTCTTCTATGGCGACGTCCTTCTCATACTCTTTGTATTTCTGTAAGAAGGGAGACAACATTAAAGGGATGTGACACCATAAACCATCACACCGACGAGCTCAGCACACCTCTACCTACAAGGAATAAATGGAAATGAAACGATAAGCACGACTGTTTCTGTTGAATCTGGAGGTACTGGACTGTATTTCAAAATTATTTCCTTTGGTTTGAATTTGCCAGAGGTCCTGCGCTTACCAGAAGGAGAGCGAGAGACAGAGGGAGAGGAAAGGGGAGAAAACACCCCACAACGGGCCTGGTGCCATCGCAATGCCGTCTCCGTTTCTTCATCCTGTGTCGATTCGGGGCGGAGCATGTGCACGCAAGCACGTACATACACACGCACGCACGCAAACACAGGTGCCCAGCATGCTCATCAAGCTGCTTTGGGTCAGAATTCTGAACAGCTGGTCACATGAAGCTGCCTTAACCCTTACGCGACCAGCAGCGTATTTTGAAATCATTGACCAACTAGGGAGGAGTGTGAAAACTGACTTGAGAAAGGAATAAATCTTATAATAACCAAACTCCATCATCTGTCTGTTCATAAAGGATTGATTTGACTGACAATTTACTTTAATTCTAAATTAAAGGTAATTTTTCATTAAAAATTCGGGACCAGCAGATGGCATAATAGCTATATTATTGGACTCCCATGTAGTTGACCGTGGTTGGAATTCCAGACCCAGTCGCTTAAACTCACGCCGGGTGCGTGTGCGTGTGTGCCCAAGATCCCAAGAGGAGAATGGAGGAGAAGGGATTGTGGTGTGGCCATCCCCCCTGGGGGCGGGGGGGTGATTTCTCGCTTTCTGGCTCTCTCTGTCTTCTGGCAAGTGCACGCACCCTATAGCAAAAACCTCTCTAATTAAACAATCAAAAAAAAACTCATCACATACCCTGGTAATTTATCTGTTTAAGCCAGCAGATCACAAAGTCGTTCAAAAATGTTTTCCTAGAAGTCCCTGTGAGATGTTCAGGACTCCAGGAAGTCCTTTTCTAACTGCATGTCTATGAATTCCCTTCAACAAATCACAACAGAAGTAAACAAATAAGCACATGCGAATATATACCTGCCTTTCCTTAAGTCAAATATAAAGAGAGAGGCAAAGTAGAAAAAAATCCACTCCTCTAGTGTTGGTTTTATAAAGTATGGCTCTTTTTAATAAAATAGGTTATTCATGTTAACATGTTATGAGTTTTTTACTCTTTGAATTGATTACTTTTTAAATTTATTGGTTTTAATTTCCTCGGTTTCCTATTTCATTTTATTTTTTTACTTTATTTTATATATTTAATCACTGTATACCAACACAACTTGTAAAATGAATTTTCCCAGCATGAACACTGCATACCAGTCTAGTTAAAGACATCAGACATGCTGTCATTAACAGACAGCCCTCCACTTAATTTCTACTATGCCAACTATCCACAGATACAACTGACATACAATAGGGGCTCTGGGCCAGCCAGCAACATGTTGGACAGCTGAATCCCACATGGCTGGCAGCATGGTTTGAGTCCAAGACCCAGCAGATTGGGAAAAAAGAAAAGAAAAAATTAAAAAACTGAGTACATGTATGCATGCCCAGTATCTCCAGAAATGAAGAAGAGATTGCAGTATGGTCAGCCCCCTCACGGAGTGCTTTTACACTTTCTTCCTCTCTCTCTCCCGCAAGGAGTGCACATGCCCTATAGCAAATTAAAGACACACACCATAAAAAAGAGGCTCTTAGGGAGTCCCCGGTATTTTATAAGAATGTAAAAGGGTTCTGGGACCAAAAAGTTGGTTTAACTAAAGATATAATTCTGTTACCCCTGTAAGGAAATATTGTTTACTAACAGGAACTTTTCAAATGAAGTTCAAGATACTTTTAATGTCGACATTCATTCGTTTGTTATGCAGTTATCAAAAAGCTGGGGAATTTAAAAATTGGGGAACATACTTATTTTAATTTGTGGGGAAACTCTGAATCAGTTATAACCCCTCACTCCAAATTCCTGCTTCAGAAAAACAAGTAGTTCTATATTGCACTCCGGATCTAGAACCCTTCAGGAACATTTTTAAAGTGGAAAATAGAATCGCTTTATGGCAGGATAATCTTAGGGATACAGATTTATATCTTCTCCCTGTTATCTCCACCCTTTACCTTAAAAAAAGAAAATGGAAACTGGGGGGCTGGCAGGTGGAATGGTGTTAAGGACACTGGGCTTCCACATGACCGATCACAGTTCGAGCCCAGAGCCAGTGGCTTGCTTTCTCACTTTGTCTCTCTCTCTCTTTGTCTCTCTCTCTCTCTCTCTCTCTCTCTCTCTCTCTCTCTCTCTCTCTCTCTCTCTCTCTCTCTCTTGCTCTCACTCTATTCCTCTCTGGTCAAAATTAAAATAAACAAAGTTAAATAAAACAATAAATTTTTTTTAAGTGAAAACTTGGGGGAGGTTCAGTTTTTCCTTGCCAAAATGAATGGAGTGTGCATGTGTATGTCACACACAACCCTCTTCCCCTTCTTGCTCAAGTTTCCAAGCTCTTTCAGGCTATAATACAAGAGTACCTCTAAAAATTCAGAGAAAAATGAAATTAAACTAAGTTTATTTTAGTGCAAAAAAAAAATGAAATCCATGCATTTTTTTTCATAATATACTTTTTCCCCCATAGGCTTTTTGTTACAGGGCATGTGTGCTCACTGGAGAAAGACAGAAAGGGAGAGTCTGAAGGAAAGAGAGAAATCACACCCACGAGGGATGGCCACACCACAATCTCTTCTCCTCCATCCTCCTCCTGCGACTCTGGACATGCACATACACGCACCTGGTGTGATTTTCAAGCTGTCAGGGCCAGGACTCAAACCATGGTCAACCATATGACAGTCCAGTGCCTTAGCCAGCACGCCACGTGCTGGGATCCCAAACAGACATTTTTAATGAACTTTCTGATGACTCCTCATACTAGGTACCCTTAAAGGAAAAGAATAGGGTTTGAGGGCAAGGGGAGAGACTCTAAGGAAAGAAACGACAGTGAAGAAAAATTCCTCAGATCCCTCAAAGAAAATCTCTGATGAGGCTAAGGGTGGGGCTGAGGGCATTTGGCCATGGGTTCTAGGAGCAGCAAAACCCCCTCTTCCACTGGAACAAGTAGGTAGGACCCTAAACCTGGAGTTCGCAGCACTCCCCACCAGACACTGGCAGAGTGACAAGAAGAGATCCTCAGACTGGTCACGGGGCCCAAGGCTTGGAATATCTCAGGATTCAGTTGATCCTGAAGAAATGATCGAAGTGTTATTTCTGGGCCACCCAGTCTGGACCAAGAGAGATGCCTGCTACATTGTTAGACAATTTGAACGTCTCTGCGGGGTGCTACAATGGTCCGTGCGTTGTGGTGTCCTGCTTTTCCCTGCTCACTGAAAACATCTATAAAAAATTCTACTAAGTTTGTCTTCAGGGCCTCTCTCTTGCATCCCACCTGGAAAACCATTATTCCTTCTAGCTTCCCCTCCTCCCTGCCAAAGCTGTCCTGGCTCCCCAAGACAAAGAGGCTGCACGCCCCATCCCAGCACCCCAAACACTCTGAGTTCATTTCTAGTGCCTCATTGCTGGGGTGGCTCAGAAGGCAAGGACAGGTCGTTGTGCTCGCCCCTCCCCACACCCAACCACCAGCCCAGAACAGACACTCCAGGACTTCTGTGGATGAAGCCTGTTGCAGAAAAATTGCCATTTAACAGTACAAGGAAGATGCACACAAAGACACAGCTGCATTATCTAAGGTTCTTTAAGAGTGACCTTTCCCACCCATTGAGAGGTTGGCTGAACCGGCCCAGAGCAGGAGGCCATGGAACCAAGGCCAGTCCAACTCTAGCTCCAACCAGCAGCATCCTCTAGTGTCTAAGGAAAACTTCAATGACAATAACTGGACATTTTCCCTAAATTCAAATGCAAGCCAGTAATTTTAGAGCCAAAAACCCCATGGGCTTCTCTGCCACCTGCTACATATGCTCCAAGAGCCAAAGGAGAGGGCCAGGTTATGCCCAACACCTATCCACTACCCAAAATGCCAGGTGCAGGCAGTGAGTAAAGGCGACATAACTAGTATTCACAGACTCAGCAAAATGAGCCTCTTTCTTAAGGGGTTTTGTAACTTACGGTCATCGAGAAGCTCAAGATAAAGAAAAATAAAAATGGACTTCACAGTTAACCTCTGCCTGAATCTTTTGGTTGTTCTATCCAGCCCCAGTATTCTGGCCATATGTTACTTGCATGTGCTTCTTGCATAGATTTCTAGAAGGGACTCAATTACTTGAACTCCGATTTTCACTGAGTTTGCAGGAAAATCTTCCCGCTTCTTCTTTTGTTCTGCACCTGCTGTGTGAAAAGGAGCCACCAACTTTATGGAGGGTTTCAGCCTCCAGGACTGTGACACAGCTAACCAATCTGCACACAAAGTCCTGTGCCAAGCTGAGGATTCAGGATCTGGGACAAATTTAGCAGTCCACTGGCTCTGTTCCTCTCCTAGCCCCAGTCCTCACTTCACACATGCTAACAGGTCCTCTTTGCAAAAGGGCCAAGCATATACTACTCTCTAACCACCCTAGGGAAGCTCTCCCATAAGCAGAAAACACTGCCTTTTCAAAATGTCTCAATGCCTGCTGGAATCAGGTCAGAGGAGAACATAATGCCTTTCTCTTACCAGGAAACATTTCATATTGCTGCGATCAAATGATTTTGAAGAAGAGGGTATAGCCCAACGGTAGTAATTAATTAATTACAAGCCTTTAGTGGCTTAAAAGGGTAATACGTATCAAAAATATAGGGGCCAACCCTGTGGCCTTGGAGTTGAGACAACCCGATCCCACATGGCCCCAGCAGTACAATTTCCAACTGCAGTAGCTTGAAAACCACTCCAGGCACACGTGCATGTGTGCCCAAAATCCCAACAGGATGGAGAAATGGAGGAGGGATTGTGGCTTGACCATGCTCCGTGTGTGGGGGATGGGGAGGATGCTTTCTCCCT